CTTATATCCTAAACAAGAGGTGTACAAAACATATAAAAACATATCAAAATAGAACAACAACAATAACAGTGAGTTTACCACAAAGCATTAAGCATCGAGATAAAATATAACAGAATACTCAGTAAGGCATAATTAACTAAAACATAAATAAACATTACAACAAATACCCTCAAAACAGTTTAAAATACAGTTACAATAAAAATGGCTGGCACCGGTGTTCCTCTAAGATGTATCGTGGCAGCCATATAGTGCAAGTGGAGTTGACCATAATTCCAAATTTGATGAACAATCACGCCCTGGACTCCTCACCTGCAGCTGGTAGGAGAAGGTCAGCAGGAGCTGGACGCCCACGACTTGCTCTGAGGGCCGCAGAGGGAGCTCCAGGCGGAAGTGGAGCTGGTCCATTAGGCCGTCATGGTCCGCGTCCTCCTCCCGGGCCTGAAGAAGGAAGGAAGGCATGGAAGCGGGCAGAGGGCCTGACTTCCCACCGCAGAAAAAGAGGAAGAAAGGACTTGCTTTCCTACCGAGATGAGTGGGAGGCGTAGGTGGTCACCCAGAAGCCGGTTGCAGGCTGCAAAGGAGCTCCACCCCACGAAGCCCCCACTGCCCTGCTCTCCAGCCAGAAGTCCTGTTAACAGCACCTCATGCTGAAAGCGGACCCTGGGCTGCTCCTCGTAGCTGCTCCGCTTCAGCCAGAATCCTGTGGGGATGGAAGGCAGGCGGGTAGGCAGCGTTTTTATCCAAAGGATATTTTATTCTTTTTCAAATTTTATTTTACTTTTCAAGAATGACTTTTCAATTGTAATTACTTTGCAAAACACAATAAAATGTATAGCAGATGAACATTTAGAAAACAAGTTCAAGTTATTATGATCAATGGAACTCATTGCCCAGTGAGATTAGGAAAGCCCCCACCTTAGAAATTTTCAAGAGGGATCTCAAAACCTGGCTTTTTCCAATGCGCTTTTGGAGAGTAGCCATATTATCATACACAGTTGCTCCCCCTCAACGGTTTTTGTCCCCAGAGTATAATTCCCCACCTGTATGAGGGTCTATATTTATGACCCCATTCCGTTACGAGTTTCTCCCCCACAAACAACCTGCTCCATCCCCATCCCATCCTGATTTTAGTATTTTTAGTATCTTAGTTTTTATCTTGCACATGCGGCCCATCATTGTTATGTTATTTTATTTTACTGTGTATGATTTTGCTTTATCGTCTTTGAACTCATATGTTGTATGTATTTTACTGTGTTATTATTGTGTTTTAGTTTTACTTTATTGTAATATGCTGTTGGGCTTGGCATCATGTAAGCCGCCCCGAGTCCCCATTGGGGAGATGGTGGCGGGGTATTAAATAAAGTTATTATTATTATTATTATTATTATTATTATTATTATTATTATGACTGGTTTGAGAAACCAGATACATTCCCAACAAAGGATTCCCCCAGACAGGAAGCAGCCAGACTTTGAAGCTGCAAGGCTATTCAATGCTAATCAAGGTGATTAAATGCAACATTCACCCTTGCCTCCAACAGACAAGAATTCTTTCTCCTGCCTGGGACATTATTCCAAAGATATATAGACCTCACTTGCCTAGTTTCCAACAGACCTCACAACTTCTGAGGATGCCTGCCATAGCTGTGGGCGAAATGTGAGGAGAGAATGCCTCTGGAACATGGCCATACAGACAAGAATCAATCAGGGCCAGCTAATCACCGGTGATAGTATGATAGCTGGGTCCGGAAGCTCTAAACGTTACCAAGATGCCGCAAAGGCGGCTGTGAATAAGGGAAGAGAGGGGACGGAGTGAGAGCAGGGAGAGCGAAGGAAGGTTAGAAAGGAGGGGACACTTAGGGTAAGGGTTAGGACAAGGTTCAGGGTTTGGGTTAGAGTTACAGTTAAGGTAAGGGTTAGGGGTTATAGTTAGGGTATGGTTTAGGGTTTGAGTTTCGGTTAGCATAAGGGTTAGGGTAAGGGTTAGGGTTTCACCATTAAAGAACTCTTATATTCCTTTTATGTTATCTGTCTCTGGCCTGGCTTACATTAACTAAGTCTCTCTTGCACAAACAGTGCTCCCGAGGAGCGATGCGGCATCTCCGTAACGCTCGGAGCTTCCGGACCCAGCTATCATACTATTACCTAATAACCTCCCAACAAAGGATTCAAGAGGAAGTAAATAGCCAGACCTTGACGCTGCAAGGCTAGTCAATGCTAAGGAAGAGTTCTTGCTCCCACCCTGGACGTTCCACAGTTATATAAACCCCACTTGCCTAGATTACATTTTAAAATTTTTATTGTTCATTGTTTTTATAATTTTAAATATACTGTAATATTTCTTTTTTATGCTTTTTATCAATGTATGTATTTTATATATGGCATCGAATTGTGCCGACTCTGTACGCCGCCCTGAGTCGCCTTCGGGCTGATATGGGTGGGACAGAAATAGCGTAAATAAATAAATAATAAATAAATAATAACAGATCTCACAACCTCTGAGTTTTTCTGCTATAGATGCAGGTGAAATGTCAGGAGAGAATGCTTCTGGAACATGGCCATGCAGACAAGAATCAATCAGGGCCAGCCAATCACCTCCCAACAAAGAATTCCCCAGGAAGTAAATAGCCAGACCTTGAAACTGCAAAGCTATTCAATGCTAATGAAGAGTTCTTGCTCTCAACCTGGACCTTCCACAGTTATATAGACCCCACTTGCCTAGATTCTAACAGACCTCACAACCTCTGAGGATGCTTGTCATAGATGCAGGCGAAATGTCAGGAGAGAATGCTTGCAGAACATGGCCATACAGACAAGAATCAATCAGGGCCAGCTAATCACCTCCCAACATAGGATTCCCAGGGAAGTAAATAGCCAGACCTTGAAGCTGCAAAGCTATTCAATGCCCCTACCCTTGCTTCACAACCTCACAACCTCTGAGGATGCTTGCCATAGATGCAGGTGAAACGTCAGGAGAGACTGCTTCTGGAACATGGCCACACAGACAAGAATCGATCAGGGTCAGGTAATCACCTCCCAACAAAGGATTCCCAGGGAAGTCAATAGCCAGACCTTGAAGCTGCAAGGCTATTCAATGCTCCTACCCTTGCCTCACAACCTCTGATGATTCCTGCCATAGATGCAGGCGAGAGAATGCTTCTGGCCATACAGACAAGAATCAATCAGGGCCAGCTAATCACCTCCCAACAAAGGATTCCCCAGGAAGTAAATAGCCAGACCTTGAAGCTGCAAGGCTATTCAATGCTAATGAAGAGTTCTTGCTCCTACCCTTGCCTCAAAACCTCACAACCTCTGAGAATGCTTGCCATAGATGCAGGCGAAACGTCAGGAGAGAATGCTACTGGAAGCCCGGAAAACTCACAACAACCCAGTGATTCTGGCCTTGAAAGCAATCCCTTCCTTCCTTTTCGTGGATCCTCACCGTGGCTCCGGAAGGCCACCAGCAGCGGCGAGAGGACGACCAGCACGCCTAGTAAGAAGAGCGCCGCCGCCGCCATCGCGCTGCGCCTCTCCTTAGCCATGGCGCGGCTCCGTCTCCACGGCAACGCGAAAGACAGGAAACGGGGTCTAGGGGGCGGGCTTTCGGGCGGCCGTCCAATCAGAAAGGCGCCTCGGAGAACTCGAACGGAAGTCCTCCCGACAGTGAGGGTTGCCGGGAATCCTGACAACCGGAAGTCACACCCTGTATTCCGGAAACGGGGAGCAATAGCTGGAATCTCTGTCGTCGTCGCCGTTGTTGTGGCGTTGGAGGCCCGGAAGAAAGAGCGCGACCCCCGCCCCTCCCTCCTCCGCGCCATGAAGTGGATGTTCAAGGAGGACCACGCGCTCGGTGAGGAAGGGAGGAAGGCAAGCAGGAGGGAGGGAAGAGAGGGAGCCGGGCCCGGACAAACAGGAAGGGAGGAAGGCAAAGAAGGGGGCCGGGCCTTTCCTTTCCCTCAGGGCTTCTTGATTCCCATCCTGCCTCCTCACTAAGTGGTTCATTATAGCAGCTACACAAAATACAACGCAGAAGGAATGACACTGTGGAAAACAACAATAATAATAATCCTCAGTTCTTGTGGGTTTTTTCTGGCTATATGGCCATGTTCTGGAGGCAATTTTTCTCCTGACGTTTCGCCTGCATCTATGGCAAGCATCCTCAGAGGTAGTGAGGTCTGTTGGAAATAGGAAAAATGGGTTTATATATCTGTGGAATGACCAGGGTGAGACAAAGGACTTTTGTCTTCTGGGGCTAGCTGTGAATGTTTCAGCTGATCACCTTTTGTATGCTAATCAAGGTGGTCAGTTGAAAGATTCACACCTAGCCCAACTTACAAAAGCCCTTTGTCTCACCCTGGTCATTCCACAGATGTTGTTGTTCATTCGTTCAGTCGTCTCCGACTCTTCGTGACCTCTGGACCAGCCCACGCCAGAGCTCCCTGTCGGCCGTCACCACCCCCAGCTCCTTCAAGGTCAGTCCAGTCACTTCAAGGATGCCATCCATCCATCTTGCCCTTGGTCGGCCCCTCTTCCTTTTACCTTCCACTTTCCCCAGCATAATTGTCTTCTCTAGGCTTTGCTGTTTCCTCATGATGTGGCCAAAGTACTTCAACTTTGTCTCTAGTATCCTTCCCTCCAATGAGCAGTCGGGCTTTATTTCCTGGAGGATGGACTGGTTGGATCTTCTCGCAGTCCAAGGCACTCTCAGCACTTTCCTCCAACACCACAGCTCAAAAGCATCAATCTTCCTTCGCTCAGCCTTCCCTAAGGTCCAGCTCTCACATCCGTAGGTGACTACAGGGAATACCATGGCTTTGACTAGGCGGATCTTTGTTGCAGTCTGATGTCTCTACTCCTTACTCCTAGTTCCAACAGACCTCACTACCTCTGAGGATGCTTGCCCATAGATGCAGGCGAAACGTCAGGAGAAATGCCTCTAGAACATGGCTCTATAGCCCGAAAAAACCCACAAGAACCTGAGTGATTCCAGCCATGAAAGCCTTCGACAATACAATAATAATAATCTTTATTTATATCCCGCCCCATCCCCCCCGGAAGGTCTTGGAACGGCTTACAACATAAATAAATACAATAAATAACAAATACAGAATAAAAGAAGGCAGATCATAACATGACAAGTTGATATAAAAGAGGAAAAGGAAGAAAACAAAACAGGCAAATTAAACAATAAGCTGTTGTTATGTTTATTTATTTATTTACGAGCTTGGATTATGATTTTAGTTATGAGACGCTAGTGAGTTGTTTATTGATGTTTACTGATGGTTATTGATGTTAATTGCTTATTGTATTATTGTGTTAATTGTCTTTTAAATGGCTGTACGATGTTTGCATTGAATTTTTGCCGCTACTTGTTGTTAACCGCTCTGAGTCGCCTAATTGGCTGAGAAGAGCGATATACAAATAAAGTAAATAAATAATATAAATAAATTTATTTACTGTATTGTCGAAGGCTTTCATGGCTGGAATCACTAGGTTCTTGTGGGTTTTTTCGGGCTATAGAGCCATGTTCTAGAGGCATTTCTCCTGACGTTTCGCCTGCATCTATGGCAAGCATCCTCAGAGGTATTTACTGTATTTTTATACCGCCTTTCTCAGCCCATAGGTGACTCAATGTTAGTCCAGTGGTTCTCAACCAGTGGGCCCCCAGGGGTTTTGGCCTACAACTCCCAGAAATAATAATAATAATAATGTATTGTCGAAGGCTTTCATGGCCGGAATCCCAGGGTTGTTGTAGGTTTTTTCGGGCTATATGGCCATGGTCTAGAGGCATTCTCTCCTGACGTTTCGCCTGCATCTATGGCAAGCATCCTCAGAGGTAGTGAGGTCTGTTGGAACTAGGAAAAAGAGTTTATATATCTGTGGAATGACCAGGGTGGGACAAAGTTTATTTATTTATTTATTTATTTGGTAGTTTTGTATACCGGTCTTCTCACCTCCATTCGAGGGACTCGGGCCGGTTTCCAACATCAATATTACAGACCGTCATTAAAACATCATATTTCTAAATCACACTAAAACATTAAAACATTGAAACAATTAAAATGGCAAAAATACAATCATATGATTACAGTGGTCAGTTGTCATCAAAGTCATTATTCATCGTCAACCATCCATATCACAGGATCATGGCTCATTCGTTGAATGCCAATCCCCAAAGCCAGGTTTTCACCTGTTTCCTGAACGTTAAGATCTAAGGGGCAGTTCTGATCTCCAGTGGAAGGGAGTTCCAGAGTCGAGGGGCCACGACCGAGAAGGCCCTGTCTCTCGTCCCCACCAGCCGCGCCTATGAGGCCGGTGGGATCGAGAGCAGGGCCCCTCCAGACGATCTTAGTAATCTTGATGGCTCATAGGGGAGGATACGTTCGGACAGGTAGGCCGGAGTCGTTTAGGGCTTTATAGGTTAAGACCAGCACTTTGAATTGTGCTCGGAAGCTGACTGGCAGCCAGTGGAGCTGGCGCAACAGAGGAGTAGTATGCTCCCTGTACCCCGCTCCTGTTAGTAATCTGGCTGCCTGCTCCTGTACTTGGAGCTTCCGGGCAGTCTTCAGAGGCAACCCCACGTAGAGAGCGTTGCAGTAATCTAAACGGGATGTAATCAAAGCGTGGACCACCATGGCCAAGTCAGACTTCCCAAGGTATGGGCGCAGCTGGCGCACGAGTTTTAATTGTGCAAAAGCTCCCCTGACCACCGCCGAAACCTGGGGCTCCAACCTCAGCAATGAGTCCAGGATCACTCCCAAGCTGAGAACCTGCGCCTTCAGGGGGAGTGTAACCCCGTCAAGCACAGGCTGTAACCCTATGCCCTGTTCGGCCTTTCGACTGACCAGGAGTACCTCTGTCTTGTCAGGATTAAGTTTCAATCTCTTGTCCCTCATCCAGTCCATTACAGCGGCCAAGCACCGGTTCAGGACTTGAACAGCCTCCTTAGTAGTAGGTGGAAAGGAGTAACAGAGTTGGGCATCATCTGCGTACAGATGACACCGCACCCCGAAACTCCGGATGATCTCTCCCAATGGCTTCCTCCCAAAGGACTCTTGTCTGCTGGAGCTAGGTGTGAATGTTTCAGTTGACCACCTTGATTAGCATATAATGGCCTGAACAAAATCTGGCTACCAGTATTAAAAACTCTAAAATTACAATAACACAACAACAGAGAGGAAACAAACAAGGACATCTAATCACCTCTCAATGAAAGTTTGCTCCAGGCACTGTCAGGCCATTATATGCTAATCAAGGTGGCAAAACATCTAGGGACTCACAGGTTGAGAACCACTGTGTCAAGTGATCCCTCCTAGTCCGAGGATGGTGGTCCTCCAAGTGTAATGTCTTGATGGTGGATATGTAAGTGGCTGTGGAGACCTATTCTTGATCTGCATATTGTTCCACAGTGAGGACATTGGTTTCCAAATGGAAAGCCGTCGATGTCAGGGTTGGCGTGATGTGCTTTCCTCTTGGCATGTTTCTCTCTTTTACCCTCCATTCGTGCCTCTTCAAATTCTGCAGCACTGCTGGTCACAGCTGACCTCCAGCTAGAGTGCTCAAGGCTTCCCAGTTCTCGATGTCTATGACACAGTTTTTAAGGTTGGCTTTAAGGCCATCTTTAAATCTCTTTAAATTCAGTTCAGCGGAGTTGATGGCGTAGGAACATCACTTTAATGCTGGTGATCTTTGCTTTTTCCAGCACACTGACATTTGTCCACCTGTCTTCCCAAGAGATTTGCAGGATTTTTCAGAGGCAATGCTGATGGAATCGTTCCAGATGTCTCATTCTACCTTGATATTATACCAGAGTATATACTTGTCTGCTTTTATAATGATAATAATTATTCTCATTATTATCATTATTACTATCACTATGTCTATTTAAAAGCCAGAGCCAAATCAGTCACACAATTTTTTTTAAAAAAAATATTTACATGTACATGACAACACAGCACAGATACACATTAGGTCCAGTTTATTTATTTATTTGTTATATTTATTTATGTTCCATTTGAGGGGACTCAAAGCAGCTTGATATGAAAGCATTAGCACAGACTTTAAAATATACAAATATTAAAACAGAATTAAACACAAATTACAGTAGAAAATCCACCAGAACATATTCAAAGTTAAGAAACACATCATTCAAGTGTCTTGGATTGGTCTCAGAATATCGGGCTCTTCCCAAGGGCCTGGGTTATTAGAAGTATACGCTCTATAATTTATTATTATTATTATTATTATTATTATATATTTTTTATTGTATGATTAATGCAAAGCCAGTCCCCTCTGCTTCTTCTGACACTGTCTCCCCCACAGAGCACCGCTGCGTGGAGTCAGCGAAGATCCGGGCCAAGTACCCCGACCGTGTCCCAGTAAGTTATTTACTCCTTCTTCCCTCCCTCCCTTCTTCTCCTCCCTCCACGGGGAGAGCAAAAGCTCCTTTTCCTGGGTCCAGCCCCATTTCCCCCTCTGAGCTCCTTCCCTTTCTCCTTGCAGGTGATCGTGGAGAAGGTCTCGGGCTCCCAGATCGTGGACATCGACAAGCGGAAGTACCTGGTGCCCTCAGA